AGGTGGTAATAGTTTATTTCCGTCTAAAACAATAGGATCCTTATTACGAGATGCATTGTTTGTTGATTTTCTTATCATGCTCATGCCCCATTCTTCATCATCCGAAGAAGTCGTGTTTGATCGACATTGCTCAAGTAGAGAAATTACCCTTTCCAATTTTAGTGCTCCTGGAGCCGAAAGAATATCTGAGGAATCTCCTGCATGATTACCCGTGTTGTAAGTCTGCGTAATATTTTTGACTTCTTCATAGTGGGTTTGCATCCAAGGTATAGCGATCATTACATCCTTTGTTTGAATATCCCGAAACAATTCGATTTTTTGAGCGAGTATGTCTCGGTATGCTTTATAATCATTTGCTGGATTTATATAACTAACTAGCTCTCTAAACTTTTGGTTTAAACGAGATGGAATATTAACCCACAGACGTTTAATTCTACGCACTTCTGGTGAACTTAAAGCTTTCACTATCGCGGCAAAACTATTGAAATTTCGATACACATGCAATAAAATATATGCAATTTTTATTCCGCGAGCGATAATATTTTCCCTTGTTTGTTGAGAACTTTTATGTGAACTGGATGATGTTCGAGCGTTATCTGCGTAGATAATAAATTGGTGGGTGAGACTATTTGTCAAATATCGATGGAAATCCAAACATGCTTGTGCCTTTGAATTTTTTCGATCCTTTGTCGTTAAGTCTTTTTTAAAATCTTCCACCTTCTCGAATAATTTATATTCAATAATGGTCAGTTGCTTAGCGACCGATTCAACGTCCCAGTATAACAGTGTCACTGTAGAAATCGTTTGAATTTGCACGTTAACCTGGTCTAATTTCGAACGTTGAACACGCACATCATCATTGAGACGACGAATCTGTTGATTTTCCGAACCATCCGAAGATCTTTGTTTAGCCACAGTGACTTTGTTTGATGCGCTTGCAAGATTATGCATGTAATTGATTGATTGTCGCGTGAGGGGCGAAAATGGAATTAGTGGCAAATTATTTGCTGCCGAATTAATATTCGGCAATGAAGGGATAATATCGGAGATACAGGATGGTTGCGGGGAAGGAAGAGAACCGTTAATGGTTCTGTTATGAAGTATATCTTCGGCATGTTGCAAGCACTGGTTTAGTTGTCGGAACAAATAACTACCGTTTGGTTTGCTCTTTACAGTATCTAATAAAAGCAAAAGAATCCCTTTAGTTGCGCACACAAATAAATATCCCATCTTTTAAAAGAAGAAATCTCAATTACCTCGAGTCGCAAAGGTAACCTCTGTAGAAAGTTTTTGAATCAGCACATTTGCTGCCTTCATATAGTTAAAGTATGAGTCCTTTATATAGAAAGAAGCGCAAATTTAAGTTTAAAATGGAGTAATGATGCATAAATTTTCCAAAAAAGCTCAAGACAAGTTAAACCTTAAAATTCCCGTCATTGTAGTCACCTGCCGCAGTCTTTAGCAGGCTTTCCCATGAACTCATCTTTGTTACTTGTTACGTAGTAAAAAAAAAAGGAAACAATAGATTGAGAAAAAATGTTAAATTGTCGTTATTTAAGTTGTTTGATTACGTATTTCTCCTTTCCACAAAGTGGAAATTGAGTGAACAGAGCCGTGTTTCCGCAGAAGCAACTTTGAACTTGTGTTTAGGTGACACTACTGCAGTTTTTTTTTTGATTTGCGTTCGTTCATAACATGATCTGTAAAAAGATTGTTAAGACATTTTTGTTATATTTTCTTCCATTTTAAGAACGGACGTGACTCAGGGAGCGATGAACTTTGCCAAAAGGGATAAATTGCAAAATTGATCATCAACACTTTACCAAAATAATGCCGATTTTGATTTTTTTATTTTGATATTTTTATTTAGCCATTTGAATAGAGTGGACTGAGATTATACTATTCTTAGTAATTTTATAAGTTCAAATATGTCATTCAATGAATTTACTAATAGTGGGACATTCTTCGGTATTAATTTGAAATCTCCCGTCATATGGATTTTTTGATTTAATTCTTAACTCCAGATACATCTTCATCAGATTAGTGGGATCCTAGAACATAATTCATTATTTATGTTATTTATATAAACAAAATTGGCAAAAAAAGAAAAACGCTTACCATGTCTTTAGCACCAATCTTAATGGTCTTTTCAGCCCAAACTCTGACAATTTTGATTCTCTCCGGGCATTTCCTTTCATTCAAACTTGTGATGATCTCTTCAGCGTACAATTCAACTAATAGTTTCGCCATCATCTCATGCACAGTTTGTTTCCAAGAGGTAATGGGAATCAACTCTTCGTCCATAAACTTCGACCAAACTGGATTCACGATTAATTTTATTCGATGATACTTTATGAGATTTGTGATAAGTGATTGCCAGAGAGATTCGTACACCTCAGAGTACATGATGTCTTGATCATTTTGCGGAATTGTCCTGGTCATATAAGATACGGCGCGACGAACTGATACGAATTCCATTCGGCGAACCGTGTCTATTAAGTAATGTGCAAATACCTAAATAAATTGCACGTGTTTATTTTCTATTATTAAGTATCGATACTTAATAATAATAATAATAAAAATATTAAATAGAGATGAAGTGAAAATATATTTTACCTTTCTCGCCAAATCATTGGTTTTTAATTTTTCTATTTCTTTGTCAGAAAAGAAAGATAAACGACTTTCATTCGTAGAAGGTGGATTATATCTGTCTGACGGATCAAGAGATTCGATGCCGCTACCGCTAACGCTATTTTGACGTCGTCTTTGTGCAGCCACAGCAGGAGATGTTCTAGGCTTATCATCCACCATCAATGATAAAATCTTAAAATAAAATTCATTGAAAATTTCGTCGTCCATCTCAGGCATATTATATGATTTAGTTGACAACATTTGCCGAGCATGACTTCCAAGATTAAGCAAATGTGAACACCAAATAATACTTCGATCAAGCTGAAAATATTAGTAAGTATAGAAAATCGATAAATAATAATATTGAAACAGAAATTATGAAATAAAAATTCATACCTTTGATTCAATCATGTTTTTTTCTTGCACAGTTTTTCTCAAGGCCTGCACTATTCGTGCAGCAAGTACATTGGACACAATCGGATCTTGAAATATCATAGCCATCTCCCTATTTATAAAAGCATCACACAAAATCACGAAATAAGCAATGTATTATTATAAGTGTTATATTTAATACATCTGAAATTCATCAGCTTACCCGAAATCAGAAGAACCTTTAAATTTATGTATATAATTATTAATATTGATTACTCTCTCCGGAGTAAATCCTTTACGTAAACTCTCTGTGACAAACCATATTAGTTCATATGAGTTGTCAGTTTTGCACATCTACAATCAATAAAAACATAAATTAAACCGAAAAGATCTCGTATACTATTGAATATTAATTTATTTTCATACCATAATCTTTCCCGCATTCTGCATAGCCATAAAGAAGTCTGTTCGGAAAGAGCATATACTTGCCCAACCAAATTGCACAAACAATTCACGAAAGATGGGCTGAACTGACTTGAAGAGAATAGGATCGTCGCCTATTATCTTCACAGCTTCTTGAACATGCTCTTGATTGACTCTTTAAAAATGTATATATTTTAATATGGTTTAATAAAAATCCGACGTGGTTATTCTTATTAAAAATTAATCGCAAAATACCTGGCATCCAAGTACTCGTTAATATTCACACCTCTCATTTCGCGCGACCAACCACGCAATATTGAATCATTTTGATAATTTGACGCAAGATGAGCGATAAGGTCAATAATCATATTCGGATACCTTCTGTAAAAGCCGCGCCTTATATCTAAAGGCGAATGCTTTTAAATCATCAAACAATAATAAATATTATTTGATAGACGCGAATTTCGTAATGGAAACAGCAGCAATAGAGTGCTGGTACTTACATCTATAAAATTTTTATCATGACCTATTTCTTGATAGAATGATTCCGTTTGAAGCTCTGGATATCTCTGAAGCAAAGCAATTATGAGCCCATAAATTGACGGAATGTGACGAAGAGGCAAATTCTTTTTTAGAAAGTTATTTCGCCTTAGTAGGGAGCCAAAATTTTAATAATTTTTCGAGCATAGTGACATAATTCTCGTAAAAAAATATAGAACAAAATTACTTTTCTTTGCTCCAATTCTCAGAATCAATCCTTTTTATTATCTCTCTTTGTAATCCGTACAAAATTCCATTATGAATTTCGAATCTACTGTTCCCTGATATCTCAAGCAAGGGATATATTGTCTTAAATGAAAAGAAAATTAATATTTAAAAAGAAATCTAGGTTAGGAGAATGGAAAAATAATGTACATTTATATCAAAACTTTTATAGTGAAGATTTAGGCGTGCTTGGAAATCATTTATTACGAATATCGGATCGCGCTCCGAAAGTTCTCTTCTTATGGCTTCAGCACCAGCATTTCCAATGAGATAAATATTATCCATTCTACAGCATAAGTATTATATCTTTAGAGGATTTATAATTTTTTACTAATTAAAATAACTTCTGATTGGTCAGTTTGATAATTATCTACAAGGAAAATTTGTCTAAAGCCTTGTTCATCACGTGATTAGATTATATAATTATAATTTATTTATTTAGTTAGAATGATTTGACTGAAATTATATTTATTTTTTTTAGATAATATGGTCTGGTACAAAAATATAGATACATCAAAAAATAAAATTTTTAGTTGTCTAATGAAAAATTTGTAAAATCTAATTAATAGTTATAATTTTTTTATATTAAATAAAATAGATTTCAATTTATCTTTTTATATTATTTTTAATATTTTTTATACTTTAATTCAAGAATAAATAAAGTTTAAAAATTGATTATTTATA